GGGGCTATATCCCCCAGCCCCCCGTCTGGCGCCACCCCTGCGAGTTCTTTTGTGGTCTTGGGTCTTTGTTCGAAGTCATTAAAAAACATTTTGAATATTGTTATGCATATTTTATAGCGGGCCGGAGTATTGATGGCCTAGTTGCAGACAACCTAGGCCTACGTGTAAATGAAGGGGACAGCACCATCTTGTCATGCTTCTTCTCGCCATCTAACGCCGTTATTGGCAAATGGTATTGGAAAACGAATGGAACTGTCATTATAAGATCAGACACCCCACCAAATCCAAACTCGAGGTATTCACTGGGTGACGCAACGCCTGGGAACGTTAACTTGGTTATTAAAGAGGTGTCACGATGGGACAAGGGTACATATACATGTGGAGTATTCGACTTGTCTACAGGATCAACCGTACCCCATTCCGCCGAGGACTGCAAATTAACAGTAAACTGTAAGTGAATACTGTCGGCTTTAATAATAGGCCTACGAATTCATTATTACAGTAGGCCTATTATTATTCGATAGTGATTATTTTTAATTTATAATTCACAAAAAGAATCATCATCATCATCCACAATAGACCTATCAACATCATCATCGTCATCACTGTCATCATGCTTACGGTTATGAATGTTACCAACAGATCTCGATAACCCTAAAATCCAGACACTAAAGGACACACGTATACTTGAAGGTACGCGAGTATCTATGTCATGTAAAGTAGTGTCGTCATACCCGGAGGTGAGTTTGTTCACGTGGTTCCATGAGGGCGACGTCATAGACAGTGCTTCTGGCAATTACATTTTCAACGATGAAACATTAGAAATAAAGACATTTGATCAACGTGATGAAGGAACCTACAGTTGTAGAGCTGAAAACGAATTTTTTGTCGGTGAGAGCGGAAAGTATAGCAATTCCATTGCATTTAGTTTTCAAAAAAAAGGTAGGCCAGACAAAGGGGTATTGTATAAACTACAAAACAATTTATCTGAAACTGATAATAAATTGTTTTAAAATAAAACAGATGATGTTAATAGATTAGTATATCTATCTGTTCAACAATAATGACAGCAATAGCATGAAACAAAACCACAAAAGCCTAATAATAACAATAATAATACTAATAATTATATTAATTACAATGATAAAAGTGATAATGATAAAAATACTAATGATAGAAATGATAATGATGATGACAACGACGACGGCGGCGGTAGCAACTATAATTATAATAACAAGAGCACTCAGTAGAGAGCATATCTCTGCCCACCGCCAATCGCTTTCTATAGAAAATTCTCAAAAATATGTTACTTTCCAACCACCAACCACAACTACTTTAAAAAAATTACACTAACACGAAAGTTTCATTTAGATGAGTTGTTTAGTTTTTGAGATATCTGATCTGGGACGTTTTGCTTTTGATGGTCCATAATCGACACCAAAATATTAATCACTTCACCTTTCAAACTCCTTTTATAGGATCAGTTGCACACCTGCCAATTCATGAAATGTTCTGGGGTTAACTCACTGGCAAGTTTTACTCTTATAAACAAAACAAAATACAAACACAAACAAAATACATGCAATGTATTGGTGTTGAAATGGAAATAGAAATATGGGGATTTGGTTTTTTGCGTCACATGTTTAAATGTAAAGATAAATTAAAAATATTCCCAATAAGTTCTAAAAAAATTAAAGTTAGTACATATAAGACGCAGTACACCTTTACTTTAATTGCACTAATTTATATATTCATCATATAGCTATTGTTTATGCCTACGGTAATACGGTAAACTTATTCTTATTTATTTTTCCTGATTAACACCATAATCTTTTTACAGAAGCAATTCCGCCCTCGTCATTCAGTTCTCAGATTTGGATAGTGTTCAACAACAGTATTCCCGTTTTCATAATAGCCGTAGTTGTGTTAGCCATGTATTTTTGGAAGAAGCGTTCAAAATATAAACAGCGCTTTGATAAATTCGTAAGTTTTATAAACATGTTTTTTGACCAGCACAGTCATGTCAATAATAATATTTTTAACAAATTAATCCGACCAAATTGAAAAGATTCCAACATAGTATAGATGCGAAGATCATAGTTTTACCCTTAAAGGTATTCTAATATGCACGTCTAAAGAAGGAAAAAATACGATATCTAGCGTTCCCACTTCCAAAAATCATTTGACAGTGTTTGGCGTGAAGACCTTCTAAAAGCAGCATATTATATAGTTTACACCCTCAATTATAGATTATTCCATTTCCTTTTTATCGGTGGTGGTCAACTCCCTTCTTCTTCATTTAGTTTAAATTTGCTTAGGTCTGCCTTAATATTGTGGAAATTAATTAGGCATTACTTAGATTCTGGAATACTTTCAACCATATATACATTTCCTCATTTTTGTACCTAGTCCAGAATTCCAGGAAGGTACGTACAAAGTCCTTCGGTGCGTTCATTTTTATGTTCTCTTTTCTCTCCTTTCCACAGTAACAATGGTTTCACTGTCGACATGTCGTAGTCTGAAAATAGCTTGAAAGCTATGGAACGCCAAAAGGACAAAATACAATTGGCAGCAGTGCAAAACTGAGAGTCAGCACCGCAAAACTGAGAGTCAGCAGTGCAAAACACAGTCACAGTGCAAAACTGAGAGTCATAGTGCAAAACTGAGAGTCACAGTGCAAAACACAGAGTCACAGTGCAAAACTGAGAGTCATAGTGCAAAACTGAGAGTCACAGTGCAAAACACAGAGTCACAGTGCAAAACTGAATAGTGCAAAACACAGAGGCACAGTGCAAAACTGAGAGTCAGCAGCGCAAAACTGAGAGTCAGCAGTGCAAAACACAGATTCACAGTGCAAAACTGAGAGTCATAGTGCAATACCTAGCTATATGGGCTCTAGACAGGGAACAGTCAATTTCACTGTTCCCTGGCTCTAGAGTACACAGATATATATACTAGTTGTTAAAGATAGTTGTATTACGGAAGCACCTAAGTGCCATTCGACTTGACAAGATAATTATGTTGTCAAGTCGACATAATATACATATCATGTCGACATGGCGAGATAGATTATCTTGACAAGTCGACATAATAAAAGTTGTATGTTGTCATGGTGAGATAGATTATCTTGACAAGTCGACATAGTAATGACAATGTGACATTATATTCACAGATTTTTCCAAAGCTTTTGACTGCATTTCCCATTCTCAACTTATTTTTAAAATTCAAAAATTTGGTATCACCGGTCCCCTTAGCTTAATTTCTGATTATTTCTCTAATCGCAGTCAACGTGTGGTTATTGACGGTTTTTGTTCTAAATCCAAACCCGTTCCATCTGGCGTCCCCCAAGGGTCTATCCTTGGTCCTTTATTTTTTAATTTATTCATTAATGATCTTCCTTATTTTGTCAATAACTCACATTGCCTCATGTACGCTGATGATCTGAAGCTGTATCGTATTGTCGGGACTGAGAGTGATGCCAGGGGTCTTCAGGAAGATCTTGATGCTGTTGTTGCATGGAGTCGGCACTAGGGTCTTTCTCTCAATGTCTCCAAATGTAAATCAATGTCTGTTTCTCTTAAATTAAAACCTTTATATTTTCCTTATAAAATTGGGGATATTGTTTAAAAAAAGTTTCTGTTCATCGCGATCTGGGTGTCTTCATCGACTGTAAGCTTACATTTTGTAAACATATTGATCATCTTATTAGTAAGGGAAACAGAATGCTTGGGTTCATTTGGAGACATTGTAGAGAAATAAATAGCCCTGGTGCCATTATTGCCTTATATCGTTATTTAGTTACTTTTCATTTTGAATATTGCTGTGTTATTTTTAGTTCTGCATTTTTGTACTCTTTCGTCTATATATTTGATATACTGTATTTAAATTTTATATATTTTACCAGCCTGTTAGTGGCGATGATTCGCTGTTGGTCTGATGAAATGAAATAAATAAATAAATAAATTAAATAAAAATGTTATGTTGTCATGGCGAGATAGGTTATCTTGACAAGTCGACATAATAAAAATTGCATGTTGTCATGGCGAGATAGATTATCTTGACAAGTCGACATAATATAAGTTGTATGTTGTCATGG